CAATAATAATATTTTAACTCAGTAATTTAGAAGCACTTAATTTGACATTCCATAATTTGTATTTACAAGTCCATTAACTCCATATTTTAATCAAGAATTTAATTCATTTCCCCTTTTCATTTTGGAGAAAGAAGTACCCCTGTCTATAGAAAGGAGCTCTAATTTCCCATTGTTAATATTTAAATCAAATACTGCTATAATGGCCAGATGCTTATAAGATTCGGAGCATAATGCTTTATTCCATAAAGATTCTATCTGTATGGTGCTATAATAAAGGCATAGCTGTTTAGGCTGTAGAGTCATTAGGATTTTTCGAAAGCCAGAGAGATGAAAAATTAGCAACCGCCTTCGCCGGGTATCGAACCACGGACCTCTGGAATACCGGCCCAGGAAGGCCGCTAGGAAAGTGTGGGAAATACCTTACATACTCCCCTTTTTAAAGGCCGACTAGGGTTTTAGAGAACCTAGTCGCCAAATCCTGGGTGCGGAGAATCATCATCCACAACCCTTTTAGTTCGGGCGCCACTGTAGAGGACATTAGGATTTTTTTGAAGCCAGAGAGATGAAAAATTAACCACCGCCTTCGCCGGAAATCGAACCACGGACCTCTGGAATACCGACCCAGCGTGCAGAACCACTACACCACGAAGGCCGCTAGGAAAGTGTGGAAAATACCTTACAAGGCTAGTATTTGACACCTGGCATCTTCACGGTTAGGTTGTTCATACTCACGTTATTCTCAGCCAGCAACTATTTAAAATAATTTGAAAATTGAGAATGAAACTCAAAAACGTAATCTTGATGACGTGACCTTCTGAAATTAAGTACTTTATTCTGAAACCTAAGTGTGCACATCCTTCTCAAGTTGAGGAATGAAATTAAATGTATTATAAGCTATCTTACCAAATACTGCGTCAACTAAATATATTTGTAAGAACGATTTTGTCATCTTATTATTTATAGAGGGACTAATAGTAATCCTACTAATATGTGTTGAAACTATTGAGCTTTCCTTGTGTACAGTCTTTTTACAAAAATGCCGTACAGTCGTATGATACGTAAAATTTGAAATATTTTCACCTTTTGGATAACTATCACTATCCATATATAATTGTAAAAGACAGCTATCTCTTTATGTACACTTAAAAAAAGCATACATGACTAAATATGAATCAGTATATATAAGGCTATATATTCAAATATATATATACAATACAATACAATATGCAGATAAATGAATAAATTCTTGCATAATATGCTGAAATAAGTGCTAAAAGTTATCTTTACCAATACTAGCTTCCATCCTTTTTCATAGTATTTTTAGCTAATATTTTTTCAAAGTTTATGACTGGGTATTTTAAACAGCGGCATTCAGTTCGTTCAGTCTGTGATTTTTGGTAGCTTATGTTTCAAGAAACTTCTTGAAGAAAAATCTTTCTCTAGTGCTTTTAGATCTTAAGGTCCCAATGGGCCAAGGATGCAAATAAAAAAGTGAACGAAAGCACAGATTGTGTTAAAATAATTAAATGTTGAAAATCATGCTATAAACAGCACTTTCTTTTGGTATCTTTGAAAAGACAAGGCCTAATTTTCACAAGGTTAAAAGGGTACGTGCAGTATTAATTGCAAATTTTAAAATTATAAAACTTTTACACCTTTTTTTAAACCTCGGACGCTGTATCACACTCTCATTGCCCAGTGAGTGCTTAATAAAGCTCCTAGTCGCCTTTTGCATAACTGTACGCAAGACATAGACAGTCTTGAGTTTAAAAATAACACCTTGCTCTACCCTATCTACTTTAGTGTTCAGATTTAACAGATATTGCATATTTTGACGATAACCTCGAAACATATTGAACGAAACGTAAAAATTATGCTTTTAAACAAAAGAAAAATGGAAATCTTTAGTCTCTAGTAACGCAAACGGGTACACTTGCATATGGATGGAGTATTTAAGAGGAAGAGTCATTAAAAGCTCTGACGTCTTATGCTCTAGTCCTTCTCATTTCTTTGTACGCCCCCTCCCAACATTAGGTAAAATTCGAAAGCAGGCAATGAAAATTATTATCCCCAACTTTTGTGCGACGGGATGAGGTAAAGAATCGTCGGGAGATTAGAAGCGGAAGAGTCACCACTGCAGATTGCTGGAGACTTAAATATAACGCACAGGGTTGTATGCACTTTATTGAAGCAGTTTAGAAATGTCGGATTCATAGACAAAAAATTTCGCAAGGTCGTCCAGGAGTCATGACGGCTGATGAAGTTCAATATTTGCCCATTTCAGCGATGCGTAAAAGCTACAGAATGATACGTTTTAAGAATTGTTGTTCCCAGAAAACAGAGGAGACAGATATAAGCCTGTTTCATGATATAAGTTTGTTCCATTCTATTTGCAAGAAGGAATGCTGTTTGCTTTCCTCATTTCTACACACAAAAGAGTAAGTTTAGCATAAGTGTAGAATAGGAGGATTAGATTTAGGGCCAAACAAGAGCAGGAGATTATTCTCTTCACAGATTTATCCTAATTCAGCCTAATTCCTAATTACGAGTGTACCTTGATGTCAAGAGAAAAGGAAACCACTACTTGTCCTCCAACATTTCAGAAAGGGATCGGTATGACAGCAAAGTTTTGATGATTTGCACAGACATGACGTTGGACAAGAGCACAGATTTTTCTGTTTCTGATAGGTGTTCTGTGACTTTTTGTTAGATATGGAAAGGAAATTTTAGAATTCAATGTTCGTCTTTTAGGGAAACAGTTGTTCCTCATTTCAATTTTAGGAACACAAACGCTTATGCATATAGGGCTGACGTAGTGGATGATTTTCTGGAAAGTAAGGATATTAAAGAGATGTAGGCAGCCAGCTCTCCAGCACTCAGTCTTAAAGAACATGTCTAGGACGTTCTTGGGAAAGAAACTGCAACTCACCTTTTCCCTCCCAAAATCTTCCAGGAGCCGGAAATAGCGTCATAACAAAAGTGAGACAGACAGTGCCCAGAGACTGCCACAGAATCTCATAAACTGTCTCATTTCTAGTATCAAGTCACGTTGTGAGAAATGTATGACTGTCAATGAGAACTATACTCCTATTAAACCTTTTTCTTTAGGTCTCGCAACCTCAGTGTTGGACTCCTACACCGATGAGCCTAACGCGCAATCATGCACCATGCCTGTTGTATGGTAAATGTTTCAATATTACATCTACAAATTTCCATAAAATGTGTCCATCAATTCTAAAAATAATAGAGCAAATGTGAAATATCTCTACGCACTGTACGCACCAGTGTAACTAAGTAGAAATTGGTGGTGTTGGTGTGGTGGTGTGTTTAATTATGGCAAAGCACACTAGGACTATCTGCCTTAGGGAAGGGATGCCTTCGTGGAGGACGTTCTAAGGGAAACTGGCTTGTATACACATTACACATCGGGAAAACCACGAAAACGCCCATGCAGCCAGCCCGTTCGCGGGATTCGAACCTCGGACCGAACTACCAGTGTTCAGCGACTTTACCGCTCGGCCGCTGGTGGGCAAGTAAAAATCAGATTAAACTGAAGTGAAGTGTTATGTAAACTAAATGTAATATAAAATAAAATTATTGCGGTAAAGACTATAATTTTACTAAACTGCCTTCAGCATTTAATGAAAAATGTAAAATCATATAATTATTTAATGAAATATTTTATACCACATGCACTTTGCATGAAGTTTAATTTCCACAGGTGATATTTGTTACGCTGAAAAATATTAGATTGCGTAGGCCTCCGTAATAATTACTGCCCATGCCTTCTAAATTTATAATTTGAGCCCTATCAAAGAGTGGAATATTTTGCATTAAAATTATTCTCTGAGACATACTCGTGGATTTGAGATGTGTCATCAACCGCTAGCACCAGCATTCACTAATTAAAGTTAAATATGGCTTTTATCGTTATATCCGAGAGAGACTCGTCGCTTTGTGTTTTCCAATCCCGCAGAATGGTGCAAAAATAAAAACAGGTGATTAATGGCGTAATTGGTCAGACTCACTTAAAAAGACAGGAAATAGGATGGAACTTCCGGGTACCTATAAGCTAGCATTGCAATGGAACTACTGCTCATTTGAAAGCATGCCTTTAGAGGATAGTCTTTGTTAATTTTCAGATAAGAGACTAGGGAATAGAATAGAATTTTTCTCCTGTGTAAGAAGATGATATTCAACAGTGTGGCAAATAAGCGATTTTCTAAGTAGGTCATGACAGCTGATGAAAGGGCCAAAGAGACATTTCTGAGGCCAGTTTGAAACGCATAAAGTGTATGTACCTTTTGAGGAAGAAAAAAGAAGCATGTATTTGAATTTTGAAGGACGTTGAAGTATTTAATAATGTTGAGATTAAATTTTCACTAAATTTTGTACAATAAAAAAAAACTATTTTTTTTCATTGAAACCCTAATCATCTCCAAGCGCAGTGGCATGGGTAATATAACCAAAGTATTTCTTATTCCAGATTATTTTGCTTTGGCTATCTGTATGTTTACTTTTGTAATTCACAGAAAATATTAATCGCAGGGAGTAGTTAGATCTGAATAGAATAGATACAAGCCCGAGGCAAGACTGACAGTGCTAATAAATTTCATTTTATGACAGTAATAAATTTCTGGTACACAAAACGTTTATTATGTTTTTGTTATAAAACTTTCTAATTACCTACATGAACTCGTAAGATGTTTATTTTGAGAACTATTTAATATGACGTATTAAATATGTCTTGGATTTTAATTTTCCTTATTAAACATAATGTGAAATACCTTTTACTTGACAAAAAATTTTATTTTTTAAAATGTTAGACTGTCTAAGAATGCAATTTCTTTATAAATTATATTTATAAGGGATTTTAAAATAATTTGATCCCATTGTTTTTCAAATTCTGCAATAAAAATGTCTTCAAATAATATAATGGGTATCTTAAACTATTATAAATATTTCAATGTGAAATTTATCCAATACTTTTTTAAACCTAGGCAACTGATTTGCACCCAGCCGATCTCAATGGCAAAGCCGATCCTTATATAGTCATCAATCTCGGCAGCAAGAAGACCAATGATAAAGAAAATTACATCTCGAAGCAGCTGAACCCGGTATTTGGAAAGTAAGTTACATTGTACTTTAAAACATTAAAGATTCTTCTTCCACGACCCTAACATATGCAAAATGATATTAAAACCATGAAAAGAAAAGATCGGTTAAGGATTCTCTTATCCTCGTGTATGGTGTTGTGTTTAATTGATTAGCAGCTCAAGGTTATTTGCTGAAAACCCTGGTTTAAATACGCGTAAGAGCACGGATGAGTTTTCACAGTTTCTCCTTTGAAAAAACTAATGGGTTCTACAATAGTACCCGAATTAAAATATGCTGGACGATAACTCGCCTTTACTTGGACTTGGTCGAATGGGTATCGCATCTCTCCCGAGTTCTTTAAATGAAAAGAATGTACTGCGTTATGGTGTGAATTTATGTGAATTTTCTGTGTTAGATGCCTTACTTACATAAATGCACCTTAACACAGGATATATATCTTTCAGAACACTTTGAAAGTAATTTTCAGACCTGGAGAGCTCAACTAGCGGAAAATGTCTAAAAAAGGCACTGAGGCTAACTACATACATTAACGCTAATGCTGATAATATTTAGACCTTTGGTACAACACATTATTCCTAACTTAAAACTGTCTATTGAGAAGTGCATTGCTCAGTCTCATATAACGTTCAATCTGTAAGGTGGTTCTTATTAACCCAAAACGGGCTATTAGTCTCGAAATGGGATTTTCTGTCGTAAATTTTCACCATAAATGGCGAATCACTTTTCAAATTGTTGTCACCAAATATTATCGCCCTGTATTATTTTTAAAGAAATTAAATAATGAAAAATCTGCAAGTATTTATGTATGTTCCTCGCATTGTGAAAAAACGACGGCACCTAGGGCCATCGAATGCTGGATAATGTAGTCCTCCACCCGAACATGTGCACCTGGAAGCCCAAATTTTTAATTTCGAATTTACTGTTTCAAATTTTGTAAAATGGATTTTTTATTAACAAGCTGAACGATTTAGCAAAAATATGAAAAGTGATTCATAGTTTTTAGTGATTCGACGAAAATTGAGCATCCTTAAGACAATCTGATAAAAGACTGAAAAAAAAGAAACAGAAAAATATCTGCTGCTTTTAAATTTTTTGTTCTTTTGCTGTTGAATAGTATATGGCGTAAGTGCGATGAAAAGAATGCTTAGCAATAAAAAGACAAAAATGAGTCGGTTAGTAGGAGTGAGTGCAACAGCAGACTGGTAGACTGTGAACTCAGCGAGAGAGTTAAAAATCTTAAAAAACTCCTTTTGGACTATTCTTAAAATCTGAAACCTTTCAAATTTTTTTTGGTCCAGATTTTTAAATCATTAGTATATTAATATCTACTCTGTAAAGGGCACATTTTCTTCACATTGTCTAAACCGTAACCTTGTAGATTCTATGTAAATATTTTTCAGAATTATTATTTTCATACTTGCATACATACTATAAAAATTCCCGTACTATATATTACAGAGTATGTTTAGATGAAATTGTTGTAAATAATTATGTCATCTATTCAGTACAACTTTTAAGCTTACACAGAATTCCAATGTATTTTCTCCAAGGCCCTTTTATGCCCATGTAACTCAACAATATTTATTTAAATTATGTCTCCTGTTTAGTCCTCTTGAGCCCTTGCCGTGGTATACAGATAAAAGATTTCTTTTTCTAGAGAGCACGCGTTAACAGCTTAAGCATAATAGCAGGCCTGTTGAATCAGCGTCATCTCAACACACTAAAAGGCACACTCTTGTTTTAGGAGCTTATAAAAATTCTGTTGTCATTCCCTTTTTTCCATCAATTAGCTATAAAGTTGCACATATTTTGCAGAAATTTAACTTTCGGGTTGTTTATTCTCCCATCAATAAAATTCCGAGTTCCATACTCAAGGGCCCCATTCCGGATATGAATTCCTGGGGTATTTATAGGATTCCTTGCCAGTGTGGTTTAATTTACATTGGCGAAACTAAGAGAGCCTTAAAATTTCGCGTCAAGGAACATGAGGCATATGTTAGAAAAAAGGAAACACAGAAGTCTTCTGTTGCTCAACATTGTTGGTCCGAAAACCACACTTTCAGTTTTTCTGCTGCCAAAATTATTCAAAAAACATCTTCCATTGGAGAACTGGATTTTCTAGAGGCATTTCACATTCATAAAAATCTTTCTGTTCTAGTTAATGATCCTAATTCCAATCCAAATTTGCCTTCGGCCTTTAAAGAAATTATGTTTTAGTTCTGGTTTCACCAACAGATGGCGCCACTTGCTTATTCTTGTCCAGGCTTTCTTATCTTATCTAATCATTATTTCCTATCTTGTTCATTTGCGGTTTTGCAGCTGAAGATGGTGGTTCGGTAAAACCATTGAAACTAGTCCTGTGAAAATTTTGTAAATATAACGCTGATTTTTCTTGTTTGACTTCTGAATTAGACCTGTTGTCCTCACAGGAGTGCAGAGATCTGAGAAATGGGCAAGAATGTAATTAGCTATTACATTACCTATGCGTGTTATCATGGTGTAAGATGTTCAGTTAATGGCAGAAATATAGGAAACTGTTTTGAAAGCTTCAAACTAGTTTTAATACAGAGAATATTAGAAAAGATACCAAAATGTCAATTAATATTATTGTTAATGTTAACCAAAATACTTTTTTTTTTTTTTTTTTTTTTTAATGTGGGTGTTTTGGCTTTGCTTTTCGAACAAAAAACAAATAATAAGCAAATGCTAGGAAAATAAATCTCTTAACACGTCCACAAAAACGGGAGATGCGAGGGTTTCGTGTTAACAAGGAGAAAAAAATTCTGTAATGAGCGTGTACCCTCATAAATAGTACGAATAATAAATAAAGTAAAAATAACACCAACACCTAACATCAATAATTAGGACCTTTTTTACGTCATATCTAGGCCACAAAGGCTACGTAACAAAACTCTGCTAGTGAGATCTAAAAATAACGACAACGATGTGGGTTGTAAAAGCCTTGCTTCGATCTTTCTGACCAATACGCGTTTGCAGATTTTACGCAAAGAGCTCAAACTGCTTAGAACTTTTCGAATACAAAAATAATCATGCCTGTTTCGGCTTTATTCAAAGAAAATATAATGCGATTTTAATGGATTGGATTGGATTGGATTATTGTAATTTGGCACAAAACCTGTCAAGGTTATCTGCGCCAGACAAATGGTAACAATGCAATTAGTCATTTGTAAAAACTTCCAGCTTAGGTAAGAGACAGATTACAGTCTATGATAAGAGCTCATATCTTAAAAAAAACAGGTTAAAAAATCTATTATAAAAGCCAATATCTTTTAAAAACAGAAACAAATTACGATGATGTGCTTTTCCAATTAAATTTTTTAAGTCCAGTTCTGAACTATTAAAATGTTTTTGGCGAAAATAATTAAAACTCTGGCATTCCACCAAGATATGATGAACTGTCAGATCTGCGTTGCAGTTTGGGCAGCTGGGATTCTCTTCTCCCTTCAGAAGATACTCATGGGTCAGGCGACAATGGCCAATTCTGAGTTGAGTCAAGAGGACATCTTCCTTTCTATTACCCATACATGGCCAGTATCCAATGGTGGGTTTTACATTTCTCAGCTTGTTACATACTCTGTCATCCCATTGCTTCTGCCATTTGCTGAGGATTTTGCTTTTGACAAACCCTTTGATGTCTGCTAGTGGAATCTGAAGATTGTACATTGTGGTTGCAGTTTTAGCTGCAATATCTGCCAATTCATTCCCCTTAATGGCAACGTGTCCAGGGATCCACGAATATAGAATCTGGTATCCCCGAATTTTTAAAGAATGATTCAACTTTAGGATTCTGATTGCAACTGGATGAGTACATTGAGCGTAATTTTTCAATGACATTAAGGCACTCATGGAATCTGTGTAGATAATAAATTTTGTGTACTTTTGTTTTGAAAGGTAAGTCAAAGCCAGATGGATTGCAGTAAGCTAAGAAGTAAGCACAGAGCAAACTGTATGTAATCGAACCCCTACTATTGTTTTTTCTGTGACGAAAGCAGAGCCAACATGATCCTGGGATTTTGATCCGTCTGTATATAGAGGGATATATTTCCTATATTATTTCTATGTTGAAAAAAATCTGCTTGTAGATGATTTCATTAGTTTGTGATTTATTCCAGTGTCGAAAAGTATCCAGAGAATGGATTCTCCTATCCTCCCAGGGAGGAATTCCAAAAAAATCCTCCATCTGTATATCTATATTAGATAAATTATACTCCTCCACCAGAGCACTCATCCGCAAGCCGAAAGATGGGACACATGATGGTCGTGCCTGATATAAACGGGAGTATTGGTCATTAAGCAATATTGACCGTGTAGAATTTTCGGTTTGTGATAAGACTTTGAAATAATGCTTAAGACAAAGATTTTCACGTCTTAACCGCAGGGAGGTCTCGTTACTTTCCACATATAAGCTTTCCACTGGAGAAGTTCTAAAGGCACCAGTGCATATCCGAAGTGCATGGTGATGTATCGGATCAAGTTTGGCTAATACTGAAGGCCTTGCCGACCCATAAATGATTGATCCATAATCTAGTTTCGAACGAATGAGAGCTCTATATATAAGAAGCATTGAGCTTCGATCAGCACCCCAAGAAGTATTTGACAGTACTTTCAGAATATTCATAGTTTTTAAACATTTCTTTTTTAGATATGTAATATGGAGGAGGAACGTAAGCTTATGGTCAAATATCATTCCTAAGAATTTTATTTCCTTTTCTACAGGAATCAGCACATCTTGCAGATAAAGTTCGGGGTCAGGGTGAAGAATTTTCTTTCGACAGAAATGTACACACACAGTCTTTTGAGTAGAGAATCTAAAACCATTTTCCTGTGACCATTTAACAATTCTATTGAGAGATGTCTGCAATTTACATTCGATGTCTTTCAGGTCTTCTCCCTGGCAACTGACTTGCAGGTCATCGACATAGAGCATACCCTGGACTGCTAGAGGCAGTTGTTTTAAAACAGAATTAATTTTTATACTAAATAATGTAA